TTTTATTTATTTCTTTTTTTTTTCATAATTCCATTTTTGTATTTGTATTTTCATTTTTCAGGTTAGAGATTGAGGAGAAGGGCCAGTGAGCCGCACCCATCGGTGGGGGACCCGCCTGGAACATCATGTCCACACCCGCTCTTGACGCGTCAACATCACGCGGGACCCAACCTTCTCTTCTGGACAAAATCAGCTCTCCGGCCCTGCTCCCTCCTCTCCATTATTTTCCCCTTCTTTTTCAATGCATGTGAATTATTTAACCGGCAATTCTAAATTATACTTGTTTTCATATTGAAACGTGACGTAATTAAGTTATCAAGTGGAGATAGAGGTGATGGACAGCTGCTCTCCGCTGTTGTCACACCATAACTATTATCGCCTTGTGCCCTTATACCCTTCTCTGTTATCTTCTCTCTTTTCTTCGCTGCTTTTAGCACCTCTTCATTCACTCCTCTTTCGTGTGCGCTCTAAATTTTTCTTTTTTGTTCGTACTCAATTTTAGCACGGTCAAAGCATAAAACTATTTCTGTGACCAGACAAAAAAGAAAAAAAAAACATAAATCTATTTTTCTCAACAAACATAAAACCTCTCCATTACGGCCCCGTTTCGTCACGATTAAAAATTAAAAAAAAAACTCAATTAAAGTTTGGTTGTCCAGTGAAGCAATGGAAAAGCGCGTCCCAACGACGTTTCAATCGTATCGTGAATTGTCACACCCCCACGGGCTTTGGACGGCGTTTGTTTTTTGGCGGGGGGTGTTATAAAAAAAAAAAGATGGGGGGGGGAGAGAGAGATAAATAGTAATAATAATAAATAAAATAAAGGAAGAAGGAGAAGAGAAAATGATGATAAATAATAATGAGGCTTAGCTGGATGAATGATACTCGGGGTTGTCTCCCTCATTGAATTAAATGTTGACAAGGATGGGTGCATCGCCCCGCTTTTCTCTTCCTTCCTTCTTTGAAACACTGTTCCAAATTTATCCAATTCAACCTCCTCTCGATTCGATCGTATCCCATGATTGTTATATAACGGAGCAGAATAGGCATTAGTATTAATTAACCACTTCCGTATGTATATGTATTATGGAGCACGGAATCAATCAACGCGTGTCTTTATATGCCCGGGAAGTCTCTCGTGGTTAAATGTTTTCACGAGATCTAAAAATGCATGAAAGGAAGAAGGAATTTTTTTTTTTTTTGACCAACGAAAGGAAGATGGAATTTCAAGTAAGGATTTGGTGGCATATTCAGGAGGGAGGGAGGGAGCTTTACATGGATAACCAAAAAAAAAACTATTTTTTTCAGTTTTATTTATAAATTATTTTTCTCAATCTAATTAATATCAATAAAATAAAAGTATAATCAATAAAATAAGTGAAATATTAAAAATAACCTTGAAATTAAAAGTGAAAAGTAAACAAATTATATGATAATAATTTTTTCTATATCTTTGTGTTTTACCTTTTAAAGATAGTATGTTGATTTCAATTCCTCATAAAGTGGACAAATTGTGCTCCTAAAAAGTGCTTCATGTACAGGATCCGAATATGTTTGAGAGATTGACTATATCGCACGGATGCCTCATGCGAGGGCATCGTCCCAGCGGGGTGTAGCCGAGTGGCGTGACAGTGTGGTGTAAAACCCCATCCCCGGGAGACAGGCAAAAGCAGAAAGCCCCACCTTCCTTCAGTGCAGCTTCTCTAATATGGAGCCTATCATGTTCCCTCATTTTTCTGCTCTATATAATAAATAATACCAAATTCTCCTGTTTCTCTCCGGTATAAAATCAACATTTAAAATAAGATAGTAATTATAATAATTAAAATATATATAAAAGCGACGACGCAGGAGGAGGACTCGATAGAGGAGATCAACTGACACACGAGGATGGTCTCTGAAGAAGCGGCATACGGGTCAGAATCTGACTCCCAACATTCCCCTCTATAACCATGTCGTGCTCTGTTTCCGCACTTTACTACGCCCACGATTCAAAAAATACGAGAGCATGCATGCATCTTTCTTTACTCTAGTCGCCATTTAAACCGGGATAGAATACTCGTCTGTGCTTCGCGGGTACCTTGTGATTCCACTCAATTTTCGACGGCCCCTCCTTATTAATGGTCCCCGATCTTCCATAGATTTTAATATGAATCAATGCTACTCCCATTCCTGGACCACCTTGCCTCTCCCTGGTCAACTCTCAAACATTTGCCCTTTTAAAGCAACGTAGGTGCACGGTAGGCCGCAATAAACGAACCCCCCCCCCCTAATTTTTAACCTTGTCCAGGTTTCCATGGTGGTGGCATGTGTGTGTGTGTGTGGTGTCCGGATTTTCGCGCTAGGATTGCTGTCTCTCTGCGCGCGCGCCGAGGTATGAATGCAAAGGATATTGCGCACATATGCAGTTTAAATTCCAGAAGAAAGCGAACAACAACGCGACGTTTCCCTTCAAACACTTCACACATTAACTTCCTTATCCTTTTCTGATGATACCCAAGCCTCTTGATTAATGAATACTCCCCCCGATCCTTCATTGATAGCATTGGCCACATTCCAGCAAAATTTTGTGATCTGGAGTACAAGTCATTTTAAAATATACCCTCTGCACTCCTTTTTTCAGTTATGTTTTGATCTGTGATATTGACACTTAAAAGTAAAAGTTAATAGTAAAAAATATTAAACAAATTTAAGTATCTAGTTGACTTTTAATTCAATACAAGTTAACTTTACATATGTGTAACTTTATTATTTATTTTTTAAAGGCATGATGTTTGGGCTGAAATATAAAATGTTACTCAAATAGATCATAGTATTAGTTGGGCTGAACAATTGAAGTATCAGGCCTAATATAAACAAAAAGGAGCTGGCTTCAATGTTTAATAAAGACCATAATAAATAAACATGCCGAAATCCGTTAGTTTCTAACATTAGATCGTTGGCATGAAAGACAAAATGTCAAGTAATACCAAAATTTACGGACCTCGCGTCCAAGTATTTCGGTGAAACGGGCTGATTATTAAAATGAAGAATATGGAATAAAGATCATGCCATGAGTTTCGCGAGATCTCTGATTTTTTGGCAAAACATGCTAGGTCTTAAGGAAGAGACTGCACTATTCTGGCACTATAAATAGAAAAAGAAGATACAAAAAAACTAGTTAACATTTAATCAAAAACTCACATTTTACACCTTTTAGTTCTTTAATTTATTAGCTAATCTTTCAGTTTAGACTTGTAGTTTTTTTCACATTTCAAAAAAATCAAACAATTATTTTATCAAAGCTTTATATTTTTTTTACATTTGAGTAAGCTGTGGTAAGAGAGTTTGAAACTTTTTTATTATCAATTGAGACTCAATATTTTTGATAGGTTTGATATTTATTATTTACCCATGAACACATGAATACTATTTTCTAAATTTTATCACAATGTTAAAAATTTGTTAGCGCAAGCTAAGTTTGAGGGAAAATTATAAAATATAATACTATATAAGCAAAACTAATTTAGTTTTCCAACAAAACTAGCTTTCTCACTTGCTTCTAGCCAACGAAGGCGCGGCTCGAGAGGAGGAGAGGGTCAAGAATGTCGCTGATTTCGTCACCATCACGGTTTTTGTTTGACCAGTTGACTCATCTTAGGCCGTCTAATTTTGGCTTGATGCTGTCATGGTCTTACCTACTAACAATGATATGTGGAGATCCTAGGGCCAGAGTGTCTTTATGCCGTTGGTTTTCCAAACACCGAAAAAGCGAGTGTGGCTTCTCACCATGCAAAAGTTCCGCACTAACTTGTATTTGAAGAAATAAATGAAGAAAAGTGAAATTTAGTGTCCTCCGATATTCAGTAAACTCTACTGCTTTCTTTTTTGTACAAGCGTGGGAATGTGGGAGAGTATCCCTTTGCCCTCAAGTCAAGCCCATTTCTCCGCGACAAGAACCACCCTCGCTCACAACCCCATTAGCTAACGAGGAACCATGCACTTTTTGTTATTGTTGTAAAGAAGAAGAAGAAGAAGTTGATACAAGTTATTTGGTTTTTTAACTTAATCCTTTTATTTTATAGATAAAAAAATATTTATATGACATTTAACTTTATGCAAAAAATAATAAAAACAGTGGAGATAAATGTAAAGAATATATTAAAGGGACAATCACATTGAAAGACCCTCTAAGAAAATTATTCATAAATAAAGACTGATAATAAGTCTCATGCAATAAAAAAATAATTTATAGTTTATTTTAATAATAATTTATTTTGTATTAATTTTCATCTCTGAATAATTTATTTGAGAATCCTTAAACGTGATGCTCACTGTTTCAAAATGGGTAGGGTGGAGCAGGGAAGAGAGTAAGAAAAAGATTGAGAAGGGGCAAGAGAGTCACGTGGCAGTGCATATTTGTTCATGCGGCCCATCACCAGTTCGGCCTTTTAAATTTAAGAAGAGTGAGACGATAAGTCTCTTGTGCTGAGACTGAAACCACTAGCGGACTTTGCAAGCCAATATTAAAAAGTTAACTTTAAACCATCCTCACTCTCCTCTTTCAGCATCGTAATCTCCTTTCTTTTTTTTTTTTTTTAAAATTAATTTGGACGAATCTTTCACTATCCCCGTCTAAATCCTATAAAAAGTAAAAACACAATATTCTCGTAAATTTCTGTGGTCAACTATTGGAGATTAAAATTCCCCCCGCAGTAAGAGAGAGAAGGAGGGGGGGAATGCGAGCGACCCGAGCCTCCTAAAATGACATCCATGTCCTTCTCAGCCAGCTCAAGTTTCCATAATAGCCCTCTCATGCTATCCGTGGCGTAGACCATAGCCCAAAACAAAAACAAAAACAAAAAGATACTATGAATTACTACTAAATTATACTGTTATTTCTCTCTCCAGTTTTTCCTATTAAAAATTAAATATCTTTTCTTGCTGCCGCTCTCTCTCCCCCCGCCCCTCCCCCAATTATTTTATCTTTCCAAAGACATCAAGTCTTGAAAAAACAAAACCAGCCCGGTTTCCAGTTTCAGCTGAGCTTTAAGGGGCTAGAAAAATCTGGTATTCACACAAAGATGCGCCTGTCTTCTCCAACGGGACAAATGCTCCACAATCGCTTCCTCTCGAGCTTGAGCTTCATGCTCGCCTAGCTGCTGCCACGCAGATCTTTAAATGGCTCGGTGGCTACCCTTCTTCGCACACTTCCGGCTTTACTTATCCAGCTTTGAATCCTGAGTCACAAGCAGAAGCACGATCGTACGGATCTGAGATCCAAATCCTCAGAGATCTGCCGCAACTGAAGATAATCGACGAGTTCTAATTCTCCCGAATGCTTACCTTCTCACAGGATCCTTTCCGATGCTGCTTCACCAGAGAAACTCTTTGCTGAGATCTAATACCTCACCTCTTTCCGATTCTCAAATGCTCACTTTCTCTTCTCCCAAATCCGAGTCTCAGTTAACGGACAAGGCCTCCCCGAATGCCGCATTGCCCTTTTCTTATCACCAACTAGCTGGTTACACCAGGAATACAGGTATATACTCCATCCTCGTACCGCTTCCTATTTCAGCTTTTTTTTTTTTTAACATTCTGAGGAAGGAGGGAATGTAGTCATGCACTTTTTTCTTGAAACAAATATTCAAAAGCGATGTCTATTCGTTTCTGATTTGTGGACTAACGGGAAATCTTGACTACGAATGGGGGTTATAGTTGTTTTGCCTTTTCAGTTTTTCTTTTTTCCCTCCGGAAAAAAGAATATCTGCGTTTTGCGAGACACAGTATGGGTTGTTATGGGTCTTTACGTTCGATTCTACAGTAGCTTGGACGGTCTTTTCATGAAAATGGAAGAGAGGCCCGTGTTTTGAGTCTTGTCAGGATTAAAGTAAACAACGAGAAAATTCGTCTTGTCAAGATTAAAATCACCGTTCTCGTCTTAGGGGGATGGATTTTGGATTCGGATCCCTTAATTAATGGACTTATCTGTTAAAATATAAGCCGTCAGAAGATTGACAAAAAGTTTGATGTCGAGGGTACCAAATCAGAAGAAAAGTATACAGAGGCAGGATAGAGCTATAGGAGGAGCTAGAAAAGCTCCAAATTTTGATTGGCCCTGTATTCTTTTTTCCCCCGCCTACCCTGTAATCTTTATTTTCCTTTCCGTCACCTTCCCCGCACACACGCACAGTTGACTGTTATTTTCTTCAATTAAAGCTCGATATGCCCCTATCATTGTAGTCCCCTCATATATTGCACATCAGATGTATTACTACTGTCCTCTGTCATACCTCCTCTCTTTCGCTTTTTTCCCCCACCCCTCCTTTCCTTACAAACTATTTTATTCTTTTAAATTATACAACCATGCAGTTTGTTGTCAGAAAAAATATATAGAAATTTGGTCGAAGTAAAAGGGCGAAGAAAAGCAAAATTATATTCTCTTAAGCATTACATCATTTTTAAGTTAAAAATGCGATATGTTATTATCTCCATATTATTTATTTTAAAAAGTTATTACAAAAAATCTTAATACACTGTTCATGATTTGAGCGCCGTGGTTAAAAAGATAAGGGCGCTTATAAATTGCTACAAAATTTGGCTTTGTATACGTTTCCATTTCTGGCAACGTTGGAGCTTTATCTTGTGGATTATCACCAGGTTACGGTTCTGGAGGCATGCACGGGGTTTTAACAACCAGAGGGCCATTTACTCCGTCCCAGTGGATGGAGCTGGAACACCAGGCCTTGATCTACAAGTATATAACTGCAAATATGGCCGTACCTTCTGATCTCCTCATCCCTATCAGAAAAGCTCTCGATTCTGCTGGCTTCAGTAACTTTTCCAACGGATTTCTGAGATCCAATACACGTAAGTTTCTCTTCTTAAATTACATACAAAAATGCTCAGGCCTTTCCATTTACTTGATAGGCATACATACAACAAAAACAGAGCAAGAGAGCCAGGATTGATTGGCCCAGAAGTGTATGGTGCCTAATACTTGTTTTTTATGCAGTGGGATGGGGAGGTTTCCATCTGGGATTCTCGAGCAACACTGATCCTGAACCGGGAAGGTGTAGGAGAACAGATGGGAAGAAATGGCGGTGCTCCAGAGATGCCGTTGTGGACCAGAAGTATTGTGAGCGCCACATGAACAGAGGCCGCCATCGTTCAAGAAAGCCTGTGGAAGGCCAATCAGGCCATGCCGTCTCTGGCGCCACCACTACCAATAATTCCTCAAAGCTCATCCCTAATGCTTCATCCTCTGCCTCAGTGGTGGTGCCAGGCAACTCCGCGTCCAATACCCTTTCCTTTGCCCATCATCAATCCAAGAATTTGCAGACTCTTTCATCTCATACTTCTGCTCCAACCAACATCGACAGGTTAGCAAAGTGAAGCGCCCTTTCCCTCCTTTACTCCTTGCATCTGTTTATTCTTCTTGTGGTTAGCTGTTACTTTGGTTTAGGGCAGCACACATTCAAAGAACCTAAGATGGTCTCGTGAGTGCCAAACTTTTGTACTGGAGAGGATGCAGCAATGCAGGAAGTGTGCTTGTTTATTAGTATGAGCTAGGTCCTGTTTACTAATGGTGTCTTTTTCTGGAAAACACTCTAATTGCAGAATGTTTATGAACGGCAAGGAGAATTCTAGTGAAAGAGCGCAGGACGGTTCTGCTCTTCCAATGCTGCCTCCCACCCTTGATTTGAAGCCCAAGGAAAACCCTTTTATGATACAAAAGGAGCAAATCCCGTACGAAGAATCGTCAAGGAATGAGTTTGGGCTTGTCACTTCTGATTCCCTACTTAACCCTTCTCATAAAAGCTTTGGTTCTTCACAAAACCCCTCTTACAGAGACACAGAGTCACAACAATCCCTTCGGCATTTCATGGATGACTGGCCCAAGCTTGACATGCAATCAGATAGGACCCAGCTTTCGATATCTATCCCCATGGCCTCCTCAAATTTCATGTCATCCACTTCCTCTCCCACCAATGAAAAAGTCACATTGTCACCTCTTCGACTATCAAGGGAGCTAGATCCAATTCAAATGGGTTTGGGGGTGGGAATTGGTCTGAACGAATCAAGCAATAGGCAGGCAAATTGGATTCCAATTGCTTGGGAAAGTTCTATGGGAGGTCCTCTTGGTGAAGTTCTTCATCTTAGTAACAATACAAGTGATTGCTCCAAGAACTCATCTGCTCTTAACCTCATGACAGATGGGTGGGATAAGAGTTCTTCAATAGGTTCATCTCCTACGGGGGTTTTGCATAAGACAGCGTTTGGATCTGTTTCCAATAGCAACTCAGGGAGCAGTCCACAGGCTGAGAATAATAAAGGACTCGAAGGGGCCAGCTTGTGCAATGACCTGCTTGGTTCCACCCTCGGCAATTCCTCCTCTTTGCCCAACCTGTAACTCTATCCTTCCCACAAACAAGCCCTTCTGGCTGCCATGAAGGAGAGGGATTTTTATCTATTCTGGCTTGATTATCACTTTAAATTTCCCTTAAAATTGTGTAAACCCTGAATTTGCAGAATCTGGTTTTACCAGATCGGGCTTATAGTTTGGATATTTATGTTTTGCTTGACTTTCTTTTCTTTATTTTTCCTCCCAAAGGAACTCATTCTGGTTCTTGTGCGTCCGTTCTGCTAATGCTTGTATTAAACAGTAGCGATGTTGGTTGGTTTGTGAAGTGGACGGACGAGGTCCAGGTCAAGTGGAGACTCTGATTGCGTGACGTGTCAGTTACTGTTCATCAGAGATTTCGAATTCATTGGACATTGTCCAGAATAGGACATCAAGTGTTCTGGTTACATAGGAAACATCACATTTTTTTGCCATATTTTGATTACCATTTCTATGAAAATAGCCATTATTGAGGGACACTGCCGAAAATTGGAACCTTGATTGGAGTTTACCCCTTTGACAAACGATAGAAAAACAGCAAGCATTGGGTTTATTTGCCATCAATTTAGTCTTCTGAATTTGACAGCTATGTTGGCAGGTGTTAATAGCTCTTTTCTAGCTAACTGTACTTCTAATTCGATATACAAGTCATCGTGTCATGGAAGAATTGACGATGATTTTTTCTGGGTCACTTTATATAAAAATGTGAATTATTAATTATTTTTTATTTTATTTTTAATAATTTTCTATAAATAAAGCAAAAGATTATCTGAGAGAAAAAATATTTTTTAACATGATACATTTAGTAAAGATAAATTTAAAAAAAAAATTCCTCTTAAAACAATATTAATAATATAACTACTATTATAGGAGTGCTGATAACAAGAATACAATATAAAGTTGTTTGACAAGATTTTTATATATCACTGAAAAGAATAATCTACTTTAAAGGAGTGCTGATAACATGATTGTCCAGTACTTATTATAGGTTCAGTAAAAATGAGTAGTTCCCTGTCGTATTACAAATTAAAATTTAATTTTTTTTATGAAAGATATTTATATTTAATATTTAATTATATTATAAAATTTTTTCAAAAAGAGTATATCTGGAAACAATAAAAAAAAAATCAACTTCTGTCCAGAGAAAAAAGTGATTTAGTGCCCTTTTTGTGATCGAGAATACCGGGAGTAAACTTGAAAAGGAAATTGTAGTGAGGGGCGGCTTGGGTTTCTGGTTTGATTTGACCGATGAAAGCAAGATCTTAAATGGCTATGCCACTCAATAATCTGAGTCCTAAACGAATACAACACACGCTTGTGATTTTCCAGTCCTTTTACCCAACTGGTCCAGGTGGCACCTGTGTCATGCGCATTGCACGCCTTTCACCTTTCTACACAAAATGCTCCAATTTTCCACTTTGCCCGTTCCTGAATCCCCTGTTGATGGTGTTTGGTAAAGGAATTTCTTTTGATTTTTAGCCATTATGGTTGGAAAAATAACATCATACAGGGTAAACGTCTCGTTTATTAAGTTCTCCGCCATTTTAATGTAGATTTGATGGACATAGATTAATCTAGATCCAACAAAATTATCACCGACAGAATAGACGGCGAAGAGTCTCCGTGGATGGTTTATATCATCATATAAAGTCAAGCTTCCAATCATTTGATTAAGAATATGCACATTGGATATTACATTGCACCCAAGGGCACAAATACGCCACGGAATTTACCAGCCAGTAAATTCATTGCTTACATTTCTAAGCATAGTCCATCAAACACACGCATCTAACACCTAACATTGCACCGAGGATTTGCGCATGCGCCCTCACCCGCTCAAACATATTAAATACATGACTATTTTGAGTTTTGACTCCGGCCATCTGCTTCAATCGAACCGGTTGCCACATAATTCAATGATTACTCAAATCGATCATTGTTCGAGAATCCCATGCATAGTTGCACACCCATATATAGGCGTATCATATATATATATATATATATATATAATTTCTTGGATAACTTGTAAGCAGGATCAATTTATTGATCACTATCCTTTTTAAATGTATTTTCAAATCAAGTCCCACGCCTAGAACTTTTATTTACTCTACCAAATTCGTGCACTTGAAACTTAATCCCAATTATATTTCTTAACTCATCAATATATGTCAACGCGTTTTTAAACATGATGTGCCAAATGCCAAAAAAAAAAAATTAAAGGACAAAAATACCTATAAACTTTTCCTTCAAGCACATCCAGTATATTTAAGTAAATGAGGGTGTAAAAGTACTCCTAACATTGACAAAGTGAGTACAAAAATGTCCAAATCATTAAATTTGATTAATGTTTGTTAATAAGAGCTAATAACATGCAGGTTCAACTTGCAAAAAAGTGACAAGTTTGGTTGGAAAAAATGAGTTTAATTATATGCGAGATGGTTTTGGTTTCCACTGCAAAACTTGAATCCACGACGGGCTAACTCTCTAGTTGGAGTGTTAGCGGGTTAGCTTTGCCTACAGTTTTTTTAAAAAAATAGATACAAAATAAATGAATCAAATTGAGTTTAAAGTAAAGAATGCATTTAGAACATATATGCATGGAATTGCAATCTATATACTTAATAGTTGTACATTTATTTAATTTAAGTTTAAATTATAAAAAATAATAAAAACACACTGCTCATATATTTAAGTAATGATATAATGTAATCTAAATGTGATCAAGATAAGATTGAATAAAATATTTTTATTATACTCTATTTCATTTATATAATAATTTATTTAGATTATTTTATTCACAAAATAGTGCAAACCAAGCAAGCAAATCAAAAAAATTTAGTTATCTTTTTTTTAAATAATCATATTTATGAAGTGCTAAATATATATTATATTATCATACTAATTTGAACATAAAGCGAAAAAAACAAATACAGAGATAAGAACATTTAAGTGGTATGAATTAGATGTATGAGTCGTAATCTAATAGTCATAGATTAAATCATCGTGATATCACAAAAAAAAATTGGTATTTTAAACTGGGGCATCATTTTTGTTGCAAAAATGCCAAAATAAGATGAAGTAAAAAGGAAATAGACAAACCATGTTTTTTAATTAATATATGTATAGTATTGATTAGTCATGTAAAACACTAGAGAATTAAAGGATTACAAAATTAAATTAGTTTATATTAAGGTGGTGATATAAGCATGATTTTGATTAGAAAAACTTTATGTTTGAGTAGGTTGGCCTATATTATCAGCTTTATCGCTAATACTGACCATTAAAAAAAGAAAATAAACATAAGGTGCCCAAATAACACTATAAACTTTTTATCTAGAAGTTTTTGATATCCTTAAATCAACAATGATAGAGAAGTACTTATTAACTTTATAAAAGATGCCACATGGCCAAGCTCAGCGATAACAGATTAAGCTTTCAAATTTATTCAAACTGATTGGAATACTTAAATTGTAAAACAATAAAATATTATTTTATATTTTTTGTCAATTTTAGTTTTTATCTAATTTTAATTTTATTTTGTTAGTAATAAAAAAGATTTCTGGTAATTGAGCTAAAAACATTCATCTTTGACCTGGCCTAGATTAATTGGCCAACTTTTTCCAAGCTATTATGTCATGTTCATAGAAGTTTATGATCAACATCAAGTTATTTTAATGAATTAAAAAAATTATACTTAATAATTTGGGTTAAGTTTGACATGTCAATTGAAATAATCTCAAAAATTCTTAGTATTGCGCTTGAAAATTTAAATTTTTTTCTTTATTTCAAACTTATTTGAGTCGCTTGAATAAACTTGTATAAATTTGAGCCAAGTTTAAATCTAAATGCGCTTAGTCTAGTTGCGTGAATTTTTTATTATTAATAAAATAAAATTAAAATTAGATAAAATTGAAAAATCTTAGTGTTTTGAGATAAAAATTGAAATTGATTAAAAAGTAAAATAATATAATATTTTACAATTTGAAAATTCAAACTAACTGGAATAAATTTGAATGCCCAAGTAGTTATGACTGAGTTTGGTTGTATAACTTCTTGTATAAAATTAATGGGTCACTCATTTGCCATTGTTTACATAAAGATATATGAAGCTTTTAGATAAAAGATTTTATAAATATTTTTACACCTTTTATTTATTTATTTATTTATTTTTTAATGGTCAATGTAGGCATTAGTCAAATTTCATGCTTTGAATAATTTTCATCAAAGTTAGAGGTATTTTTACACCATTGTTTGGAATGTCTAGCAGGCACCAGTCTGTTAGTCTCCTCTACCTCTGGAATCTTCATCTTCGGATTTCCTCTCTCTTTTGTATTTCATATATTCGTCATTCGTGTGTGTACCTTTAGTTTTTGAAAATACATAGGCAGACACACGGCTTCATCTTTGCTACTTGCGCCATAAGTTCGCTGCCCAATTGCCACAGCAGCATTGTACTCTCTTCATTTCAAATGATAATTTTAAAAACATTATGCATATCAATAAAATATAACAATAATAGCACAATACTTTTTCAATTAGTTTTTAAAAATAATATTATAATTATAAATTTTTAAAAATGTCCTCACACAATTAATCATTACATTATAATATTGGTATTTTGATTTTCTCTCCAATTAAAGAGTAATATCAAAAAATATTATTAATAAAATTTTACTCTTATCAAATTATCTTATATTATGAGATAAAAAACTCTTTCTATATTGTTCTATATAATCTAAGATGGAAAGAGTAGTTTTTTAAATGGAGTTAATCTAGATTTTTTCGGGAAGACAATTAGTACGAGATGAGAAACTGCTAGAACTATTTCCAAGCAATATAAATATTAATTTGAAAATTGAAGCAAACTTGTGTATGAATCATAACTAATCTTTAAATTAGGCACTCCTACTTTTATTGAGATAATAGAAGCACTAGGCCCAAAAAAAAATTAGAAGCTTTTTAGAAAGGTTTAAATATACTTTTAATTTTTTAATTTTATATAAAATTTTAATTTGATACCTTAATTTCATAAAACATTTTTTGATTCTTTAATCTTAATATCATTAATTTAAAATGATGATTTTTTGTATTAATTATTTTTATTTTTTTAAAAAATTAAACTTAATATATTAATATTTAATAATATTTTATTAATATTTAAAATTTTAATATAAAAATTTA